ATGAAATCCACAGGAAATCGCTAATGATGGTAGTCACAAAAATAACACACCAGAATGCTCGCCCCGTCAGCTGGTGCAGAGAGGGCTAATGCTGTCATAACGCTGCGCTACGTAGTCACACAAAGTCAGTTGCACACATGCCCAAATGTATGCGCTGCTCTATACATAGATGCTGAAATGCAGAGCTGCTTTCAGATGTGTTTTACTCAGTGGTCTTTACAAACAGAACAGTTTTGGGCTGCTTCAGGAGTATTTATTTAGTAGGAAGTAGCACCGCACAAATACTTGTAGCAGTTTGTTTTGGCTGATGCTTTTCTGTGTTCTGTAACAAATTGATTTTAACTAATCCATCTTCTGTTCTAATTTATGAAAAAGCAGCTATTGTGGCTTAGGGCAGCAAATTGAATGGCACCAACCCTATTGGCTGGTATAAAGCTGAGCTTCTTTACGAAGAAGTATAATCGTTGCCCAGTGACTGTGGTAATACCTAATATCCATCTGGTATCGTCCACCAACAGCTATTTTTAGGGCTGTTGCTCAGAATGTGAGAAGCTCGCTGCACTTTAAATACTCTAGAGTATGACTCCTTGCTGTGCTAAACATCAAAAACCATGTTTATGGAGGCAAGCTCTATGTTTACAGTGGTGGCGTGTGGGAGTCCCACTTTAGAGGAAAAAGGAAACTAAGATTGCTCAGTTATCTGGTGCAGAGCTTTGGCAAGAACATCCTCTATTCATGGAATAGCCTTCATTAAAAAGTCCCAGGGTGTTTTTTAGCATTCGAAACCCATTAAAAGCAGAATCAACCACTAACTGCTACAGTTTTAGTTTAAAGTAGTTCCAGATTTCGACAAGAAGCTGCAGGCTAATTATTTATCAAATAAACTGGCTCCAGTCAGAACACGGACCTGGTTACACTCTGTATCAGCTGCACTCTGTAAAGGTTTGATGCAAAATAGGGTGAAGTAAGCGGAAAGACTCCACTCAGCTTCAGTGGGTTTTAGGCCAGGCCTCAGGAGTATACGGTGAAGGAAATGAGAAACGTACGTTAGAAACAGCGCTGTAAATGACAAAGCACTAATCTGCTTCTCCATCTGTGTCTCGCTGAGCCGAGAAGTAGAAGCCTTTGAATTTCTTTTTGACAGTTTGCCTTTTCCAAGTGTTTTTGGTCTGGTATATAATTTAAACTTCAGTAACTTCTCATGGTAGTGGGTATTAATTTTAAGACTCATACACGGAAATTGAATCCAAATTCAAGAAGGAAGATTACGGGTTGTCTTTTAACAGGGAGCTTTTGAGCTGGAGGGTGGTGACAAACGCAGCTTTGCCTCGTGACCAGTTTTATTGAGCGCTTTTGCTAAATGCGTGTTTGCCGAGTATCTTGTGTGCAGAGATTTGCTGATGATGCAAGAGTGGCATCATTAATGCAGAGCAGGAAGGCAAGGTTTGGGGGAAACAGACTATTAGAAGGCATGGTGGGGGGAAGCAGCGGGGGGTAGATTGCCCAACCGGCCCCGAGGAGCTTGGGCAGCCAGCTACAAGCTCATCCGCTGGGGCCTCCAAGAGGAGCAGGGGGGGCCGGCAGACACGCTGTTCACAGCAAGCCCTTCCGAGCCCCCAGGTCAGAGCGGCCACGAAAAAGCCCGAGGCGCTCAACGTGACACACTAGGCCGAGCATTTCCTGTGCAGAGCCGGAGGGCCCGGTCCCAGGCCCTGGGGACATCTCCGCGGGGCTGCGCCGCGCCGCCCACGCCCCGGAAAGGTGAACCGAAAGTGGCGCGGATGGGAGAGCC